CATCAACAGCAAGCAATGTAAACACACAGGCTATATTTGCTATACTAAATATGTACATGTATATTCTTGATATAACTTATGTTTGTCACAAACATACATTACACAACACAAATAAGACACATCTGCTCACAAAGAGGAATAACCCTTAACCTTTTAAATTTCTTTCCAAGTCTGACCTTATTCTTTAACACCACATTGCAGTCCTTGCGTAAAATATGTACCTGTGTAAATTATGAATGTGAAATTATATATGTACTAACAAATTAACAGTAGCATACATGCTTTTATCAAAAATTAAGATACATATATGACATGTATAGCTCTACAATGCATATTAAGCTATGATTGAATCATACAAGTATATGTACATACACAGTAAATGTAATTTAGACATTCACCGTTCAATTTGCTGACTCATGCCATCCTGAATTAAGTTTCTTTTACGAGACCTGCATTGTGCAAATACACATTAATAGACAATGTGCAAACAATTATTGTATTGTTAATGAGAACATCCATGCACACAACAAAAGATGCATTGGCAAGCATTCATTTATATTGAGAAAAGAAAGTACTTACTGTGGCCATAATTAATGATATAATCATCAAATGAATATAAAGTATGTAACCTAGAATCATAACCTATACCAAAATACATAAGACATCTCACAATAATCTCCACCTTACTACATATTCCATTGCTAAGACTATTATACAGTAATATAAAACCTATACATATGTAAACTGGCACCTCGTATCGTGTGATACAACTACTAATCAAGGAGCTGCAACAAAACATTAAGTTACGTTTAATAAATAAATTAATTTAGTTACAACAATCTAAAAACAGAATTGCCTTTCATTATATTTCACATTCCAATAATAAGCAAAGGTATTGCTGATTCAGCAAATCATTCCAGCTGTAATTACCTGTAAAGCATAGTAATAGAAACATCAAAAGCAAGCAATGTAAATTCACTGGCTAATAATAACAATAGCACTTACCAATCACATCAAACCTCACCCTCTAAAACCACATTGTAGTCCTTGTGCCAAGCAAGTACCTGTAAAAAGTATGAATGTGACATACTAACTAATAATGATAATGGTAGTATCTACAATATTTCTGATTGGATCATACATGTATGTGCATGCATGCATTTTAGACATAAAATTGCTTACTAATGCTATCCTCAGTTAAGATACTTTCATGACCTGCTTAATATAAAATATCATTGTGTGCATGAAGTATTTCCAATGTGCAAACAATATTTTTTTGTTAATGAGAACATGCACATGTTACAACAATCATCAATAAAAGATGCGCAACATCAGCTGGCAAGCATTTATTATTCGCACAGCTTTGATGGCAGCATCATTCAAATGCGCAACATCAGCCGGCAAGCATTAACTTAATAATGCGCACAGCATTGATGGCAGCATTATGCGCAACATCAGCTGGCAAGCATTTACATATATGTAATGCACACAGCATTAATGGCAGCATTAACATGCATGATGATCATTATTATATGTACAGAATTACTGCTTGAATAATACTAAATGTAAAATAACAAATTTTAATGTTACTGTAATGTCACACAATTAAATGTCACACAAATTTGAATCAATGCTAAACTCTAATGAACACCAAACCTCTTTCACACCCTCTCCCTGTCCATCATAGCAACAAGTAATCAATATTCACTGTTATACATTGATTAATCTCACATCCTGAATGCAGTTTGATCCCTTCATACTGAGCAATACTGGGTGGATATGCACCAATGGTTTTCAGACTCACACATCATTCACATTGCACATGCAGTGAAATATAAGTCACATTAAACAACCAATGTTTTTAAGATGATGGACTTCCCATACACCATACCCACTTTCCATCAACAATCAATGCTTAAGAAATATTAATAGACTTAACTGCTTGGAAATGATTAGTACCAACATGCTTCAAATACAAAGCAGGTGTATTAGTATCACAAGGAATGCCATATAAAGTTTGGGTTCCATATCTAGCCCAGCCAACAAAAGTAGGAGTGAGTGAATATGAATATATGGTTGTACCTAATATTGCAGATAATGTTATAATCTCTGTGTCAGTGGCCCACACACAATTTCTATACATTTTAAACTTATTTATGTAATCATATATGCTTGAATATCTGGTTGCACTTAATGTACTATTAAACAATTCTTCTTCAAAGTTTGGCATATTACTATGCTTTACGTAATTCGTAATGCTGAGAAATTGACCCAGTAATGAGATATGAAAGGGCATAAAATAAACAGTTCCCATCACCAGGGACATCAAGAGTACTATTAGGAACTCTTTCATCTGACAATGGTGTTGTTGGACTACCAGGTAAGATTCTAGCAGCTGTGACAAATTTGAGATTTAAAATCTCACACCACCTTCTTTGATATTCTTCATTACCAGGGTAATAAACATAATCCCATTGTCTCCTTCTCACAATATCTGGGTTAGGAGGCTCTTCATAAGTAAAGATGACATCATCATCTTTTTTTGGATTACTTGTCCTTAATTTAATGCTTGAGAGTTTTATAGATACAATCAGACTACTACTACAATGGTCATTTTTTACAACACACTTGGTTTTATCATCTTTTGGTTTACATTTAATGTTTGAGAGTTTTATAAATACAACGAGACTACTACAACAATCATCATCTTTGACATTAAATTTGGTTTTTAGGTCTTTTAAATTAATTGAAACAATTAATTTATCATCTTTTTTTGAGTGAGGAAATACCAAAGCAGTATTGTCAGTACTACTGTCTACATCAACTTTTCTTTTTTGGGGGCAAGGCTTATTTAAAGCATTATTGTCATATATTTTACTCTTTTTGGGGCGATTAGACTTTTGTAAATCAGTACTCTTACGTTTATTGCTACTAACAGTACTGTTACTAGTACTTTGTACATGACTTACAGACACCTTGGCATTCTTACTACAAGGTTCACCATCATCAATTATACCAGTCACTTGAATCTTTCTCTTTTTTCCTTTACTTTTCTTGATTTGAGGTAAGTCATTACGAAAATTAGTTCTCAGTTTGTTAATTTCATTGATGCACGGATTACTAACTTTAACAGAGAAAGGATCAAATGATAATAAATGTAATCCATTTAATGTACGTACACGAGACAATGCAACATATGCCATACCATCCCCAAAAACATCAGTCGATAAATCAATAATGGCTGTATCTAGTGAGAGGCCCTGACATTTATGTATAGTAATAGCATAAGAAAGTATGAGGGGAAACTGTTTCCTATGTATATACAAAGTCTTAGATAGCATAAATCTAGATGTAACCCTTTCTATGTCACAAGGTACATCAATATGATCAAATTTGATTAATATACGTGTAGCATAAATACCCATTACTGTACCAATGGCACCATTAACTAATCCTACAGTCACATCAATATTACGTCTTAGCATTACTCTACAGCCTACTGCTAAAGACAATACAGTTGCTAAACCAGCTGTTTTGCTTGGTTGATCTTTCAGTTTATCTAATTTTCTTTCTTGTTTTTTGTCAAATTTTGCTGTGCTGCCACTTTCATCAACAACATCAACACATGCTAATTCTATTTTCTCAGTTTCTAGACCTTCTAACATTAATTCATTGATTTTTTGGCAGGCGTCTATCTTAGAAAATAGGCAAATTGGAGGAATTGTTCCTTCACTTTCCAATTCCTTATATTTTTCTTGTATTGAAACCTTGAATACACGACTCTTAAGCATATCAATAGTTTCATTAGTTAGACAGTTATGCCTAACAGAATCAAGCATCTTAAAGAAAGTTTCATCTCCTTTTTGTCGCTCATTGATTGTTAGTTCATCATATTCTACTGTTTCTTTCCATATGTTAACTGCATTTGCTGCTCCAAGTCTAGTTTTTACTAGTTTGTTGCTAATTTTATTAAATACTGGTCTACCATTAACTGGTGGCAATTGTAAGAGGTCACCTACAAATAAAATATTTTTGGATGCAAACCATTCATCAGTTCCAAATATATTTTCTAAACGCATGTGTAAGTATGCTAGATTTAGATTAGATACCATAGATACCTCGTTTACTATTATAATTTTTAAATTTTTAAGTGTCATTTTTATTCTTTTCTGAGCTTCTTTACTCAAAGCCCAATATCCAGCTGTCTTTCCCTCATGCTCTATTGGTAGCTGAAATAATCTATGTATTGTTAGTCCACCTACATTAAATGCGGCTATACCTGTTGGTGCTACTATAGCACACATAATTTCACCACTTTTTGGATGCCATGTGTCATCCACTAGGCATTTTATTGCCTCTATCAAAAACGATTTACCAGTTCCACCTACACCACTAATAAACATCCTTAGCGGTTTGATATTATCTAATCTAAGTAGTCTTGAAGACTCATTCTCTAATAAGTCTTCACGTTCTTTTTGACTTATAAAATGACTCTTAATTTTATCAAAAATTCTTTTTTGATCTACATTAAGCATTGCCTTTCTCTGCTCTAATGTTAAATTAGGTACATTTATATGCATTTCAGCAATATCAGCTACTGCTTCCATTATTTCACCCAGTAATTGAGGCTCATCATCTTCTTGTTATCAGGAAGTTCTTCTTCAGTGAAACCGGCTTTATTTCTTGCATCGACTATTTTCTTCCAATTACGTTCAGCTTCTAATAATTTCTGTAGTTTGTTGAAATGATCTTCAATGCCACGTATAGATGCTTCTCTGTGATGCCTAATAGCTTCTTCTATTGTTTCTCCTTCCATTACAAGTGTGCTCTCGTCTCTAAAAGGCATAAATAAAAATATTAGCGAGTAATAAAAATCGTCTCTTTCCGCTTCTTGCATAGGATTAAATTTCCTATGGTTTGGAATGACTGGCTTTGATCGAAGTTTGTATTCTCCGTCTCCATTTTCTCCTATTTTATCAAATTTGTAATTGGCAACAAATTCATAGAGAGATACATCTTCCATGTTATTCGGTCTTGTTGGATAAAAGTCTTCAATTATGCTAGGATTAAAGATGTCTTTCGAAGATCGATCCATTTTAGTTAAATATGAATAGTTTTTGATTTTTCTGCTCCTCTTATGAGGCAAGTACACATTAACGTACTGTACAGTTACTGATTTCATGTATAAACTTTCACCGAGAAGAAGATTGCTAGCTTCATATAGTCCTACTTCTTTAGCTCGAAGTAAATTTTGTCCAATTTTCCAAAGCCTGCTGTATATGTTGTCACAGCTGCTGACTTCATCCCATAAGTCCTGTGCATGACTCTTTTCTGCTTTAGTGACATCCAGTTACATACTCTGTTAAGGAAAGACTCCTCTCTGCTATGTATTGCAGGTCCATATTTGAAAACCACAATTTCAGCAGTAAAGGATTATAGTCGTTGACTCGAACTTCTTTTTCATTTCGTTTGAGATAATATATTTTATTGCATGATTTCAAGCTGTTTTCTACATCATTGATGCAAATACTATCTCGTACTGGTCTAGGAAAATCAAATCGGCATCTAGATACATAGGTCTTGCCGACTTTAATATTTCTCTTGCAGTATTTGCTGCACTTGTGCATTTGGTATTTTGTTACCAAAAAATTTAAATCAGGCGACGTATTACTATCTGGTATATGACAGGTAATCCTATCTTGTATCAAAGAACAGACTTCTTCTGGATGATCGATACCGACAACAGGAGCATTTTCAATCCATAGGAGGATGTGATAATGAGGTGCTCCACGCATTTCATATTCTTTTTTAACATAATATTGCTCTACTTTGCCTAGAACACATCTCTGGAGAATGACTATGTTAAAGAAATCCTTAAATTTGTATGAAAATTGTCGCGATACTGAAACAGGGTCCTCAGTACATAATTTAGAAATACTATATGATTGTGGTGCATTATTCACTTTTCTTAAATATTGCGCTATATCAGCTGAATCATATTCAGCACAACTTAATGTTAGGAAAAGTGTTGGTGAGCCATCCTCAGCAATCATTGCTTTGACTTCACCTTTCACACGGAACCAATATTGATTTGTGCCCCGTATTGGAGCCAACATGGTACTTAAATTGCCCTCAAATTCTTCATCTAAAACATCAATTTTTCCCAAAATTTCAGCAACAGTTTGACCAATGTTTCCTCTTGTTGTTTTTAATAAATTATATATGCTAGTTTTTAAGGCCTTATTAATTTTTAATCCGTAATAGTGCAAACAATATGACTGATTTCTACGAAATCGAGAATCTTTGTTTAAAAGTCTAGATTTTATGTATTCACTAAATGATAAAGTCTGTGCTGGATAGCTTTGTCTGGAGTGATGCTCTCCAGTTGAAAATAAAGTAGGGAAGCATAACAAATCAAGATGCTCTTGCCTATTGTCTATAGGCGCTTCTTTTACATTCATTAATTTATATTGACTGATATCAGAACCTGTTGCAATTTTACTATCAAGATTTCTAATGGTATATGCCGAAAGGCCTTCTAAATCATGATCGTTTGCTTTTTCAAGCATTTTACAAGTAGTATTGCTAACTACTTGTATAACATTTTTAGATGATTCGTCGATGGAATCATGGTCTACATTTCTATAAAGCCAATTTATTTCTTTTAATTTTCTTAGTGCTGCTTTTATTTTATTCACATCAACTAGGCTACGCCAGACATTACTTGATTTGGTAGGCTGTCCATTAATAATAATATAAAGTTCTGGATTAGGCAAGTGATTAGAATCTATACCAACCTCATTTAAAGTTTCCATGGTTTTTTCTAATGGAAGGGGTAAATAAAACATTGCACCTTTCAGAGCCTTCAAAGAATTATATGTAGGCACTTTTTAGGTGTGTGTCCCTAGCCTAGCAATTGTCTGAAAACACTTGGCCCTCTGTATTAACTGGCAACTTAAAGGATCCAAATTTTCCAAACCCATTGAGCACACAACGTGCTGGAACTTCATTTTTCGTAATAATAGGTTTACAATGATTACAAATATACATAACTTTATTTAATGCCATAGGATCATTTCTTCTAATGTAATCTAATAGGATATTCCAAACATCGCTATCTAAATTTTTAGCTTCAGTGACAGACTTTTTTCTTAAAAGCCTCTCACAGCTGCAACAAGCATTAACAGCCTGATCAGACAAAGTTTTCTTAAATTTATCAATAGCACCTGAATGCTGAAAATAAAGTACAGTATCTAAGTTTGGCATTCTAAATGGGTCTTCTTCTTCACCATCATTTATAGCGTAATACACATTATGAAATTCAGTCTCATCGGCTTCATTAATTTTTAAATCTATCAATTGTGCTATATCACCATC